TCCAAATGAACCAATCCACGGACTTCCTCACACACACACTCAGTGCAGGCAGCTCTGCTGATTTCTCCTCCCTGGCTGCAGGCTGATAACAGACAGTTGGGATTGCGGCAATATTCTCTCTGCAGACCCATTCTCACAGCATTTATCAACCTTTTTCTTACTCAATATCAAGCCACACTTATTGTTTTTTACTTTGGCTGTGACTTTGTGTGTGCTCAGGATGAGTTTGGCTGTGTTTCGCTGTCGCTAAACAAGGAAACAACACCTCCACGGAGCTCAGCGCGATTCACAACGTCCCGACCAATCAGAGCACACTGTGCTCACAGGGAGGGTGGGGGCTGGAGCTATTGGAGCTACAACGAGCCGTTAAAGGCAGAGAGTGAAATTCAGTGAATACACGTAGTTTACAGAGATGCTGTTTGAGAAACCAATGTGAGTTTGGAAAATTGCACAATATAAATCTATTCTAGTAGACCTCAACAATAGAATTATGATCAGTGGAAATGGCCATGACATGTCTCCTTTAATCATTCATTGGATTTCTGTAATGTCCGGGTTACTTGCAAAGAGTGCCTATAGGTGATGCAGCCTGGTCTGCTTCCACTGTCAATGTATTCTGACATCAATGATGAATGCAGGGAGAGTTTGACTTGGACAGCAAAAAGGATATACGCAGAGAAGAGACATAAATATTAGAACATGTTTTTATCGGGGAGGAATTGATACAAAGACGCAGAGACTCTGTCTTACACAGCCAGGCTTATAAAGCTTGAGCTACAAATCACTAGTCCAAAACACTAAGCTACGAGTGGAACGTATCTCAGTGTTTCACAGTGGAGGAGATTTTCTTACATGTCGTTCTCAGCGTTTTCTGAAAGCAAATCCGGATACTTGCAGACAACTATGTAGTAACAGGGCCCTATTATTCAGGTTGATATTAGTATTTTGTTCCTCTACTTTGACATGTCTCCATGCTTTAATGTTCAAAAATCTCTTTATTTTTCTCATACTGCCTGTGCTGCAGCACCTCTTTTCACCCTCTGTCTGAAACCAGAGCCCAGTCTGCTGATTGGTTAGCTGGCCGGCTCCGTTGTGATTGGTCACTTGCTTAGAGATATCCCGTCCCACCCCTTAGCCTATCACGTACAATGTGTTGGAGTGCTTGCCAATAGAATATAGTGTTACATAGTGATTTCACTATGTCATGGCAGTAAACAAAGGAGTCCTATGGAGAAGTTTCAGGCAGGAGGGGAGGAGTGTGTGGGAGAGACAGTATAACCCATTTGGCAAAACAACTACCGTACGAGGAATGCTATTCACATTATATTTATAAATAAGAAAGAATATTGCTTTTCTTTTTCTTACACAAATAGTTAGCCATTGACTCAATACAGACCTTAAAGGTAGCATTGGAGACCACTCCATAATAACTGGTATTTTCCAATCAAGATGTACTATTTTAGAGGAGTGTACTGTATGAAAAATGTAGGTCTGTGGCTGTGCATGCAAGTGTGTGTGTGTGTGTGTGTGTGTGTGTGTGTGTGTGGTGTGTGTGTGTGTGTGTGTGTGTGTGTGTGTGTGTGTGTGTGTGTGTGTGTCACCACTGAAAAAAGACTTTAATCACTGCATGATTTTTTTCTGGCATGCCCAAGTTTCCAGGCACCATAAACGACAGTATCTGATCTAAAAGATTAAGTGATAATGGAATGAAGGTTCTGTACAGTTCACAGCTGTAAAATATTTAGTGATGACTAGGGATGGGAATGGAGTTCCCGTTGACAAACAGTTCCTAGCTTTCCAGTTCCTAGGAATCGCTTGCATCCGTGACTATCAATTTATTAAATGCTTTCCGACTATTGCCCATGCTCAATGGCCGATGGCCATGTGCATGCTAGATCATGTTTTGGTTTGTTTGGGACCAGAGGCATACATAAACCTGCATGTGTAAGAGCAATCGCTACGGTAATACCATTTCTAACTCTATTCCCCAGTCTAGATGCAAGAAGAGTTTCAGGTTTTTTACCAATCTAAAGATGAAAATCCTGTCACATGATTACAACTAGTGACCAGCGTTTCCGCCAGGGGGGCGTAATGCCGTCATTTGACGCCCTTATTCAGCTCAGAACGCTCCGAACCCGAGCCGAGGGAATAATAAATAAATAATTCGAGAGAAGATCGAGAGTTTTTAATCGCTTGAAATGACGAAAAGGAAAAAGGACAAGGACATCCCTCTGTTGGAGGGGCAAAGGAGTCTGGTGGGATTATTTTCGCCGCCGGCAAAGTGTGTTCCTGTGACGGAAAGTGTACTGTCGGCGAGCCTTAACGGTTCATGGCGGTGAAACTTAGGCTCCGTGGTAAACTGTGGTAAAATGAAGAGCCATTTAGGAGTCGAAAGAGCCGGCTCTTCTTATGGCGCGTTTCCACTGCAGCGGGTAGCTCGCTTTAAGCGTGCCGAGCCGTGCGGGGCCCGTTTTTGGTTGCATTTCCACTTGGCCTAGTTTTGGCCCGGGGCTACTTTTTCACCTTTTTTCTGGCCTGACTAAATCGTGGTTCAAGGGCCAGGAACAACCAGGCTGAGTCGGGCTGAGTATGCTAAACTAGAGAGAGAATCGCTGGAAAGGGGGCTACAACTACAACAAGATGAACATATTTGACCGTGATTTAATTGTAATACACGTTTCAAAATGATGCCGAAGTAACAACATACTGATACCGGTTAGTAAAAACCATGAATTAATGCTTTGACAAGTCTGCAGACAGACGGCAGGCGAAAAACCCTTTTAAAATGCGTGCTTTCTAAATGGAGCTTGGCTAAGCTAACGTTATATATGCTCCGACCGTCCACACTCACAACAACGGCCTATACAGACATAAATAAACCAGCGACTGTATTCGCCATGACACAGGCAGTCTGTGGTTTGTACTTGTTTAACTTTTGTCTAGTTTCTGAACAGATATGAGGAGCTGTGAGCTCTGAGTGCTAAGAGCTAACGGCTGTGTTGTTTTTTGGGGCGCTCATTGAAGATGACGTCACGGCTCCGCCTACACTGCGTTACTATAGTAACTACCCCAGTTCCTAAACTGTAATGGAAGCGCAGCATTAAAGTGAGCTGGGCCTAATAAGGCCTAACCAAAAAGAGCGAGGCCGAGCTAGGCCGAGCGAGGCCTGCAGTGGAAACGCGCCATTAGTGAGCCGAGCCAAATGATCCGGCTCACTAAAAAGAGCCGGAATTCCCATCACTAATACGTAAAGAGATAGTATCTATAAGGGACGGCTCAATTAAAAATTCAAGTGACGTCACACGCCCCCACCACCCCCCGCTCTCGGGGTGGACGCCCTCTCAGCCCTGGTCTGGCGGAAACACTGCTAGTGACAGTGTTTAAATAAAACAAATATCAATAACCAGAAATCATAATGTTTTATAGTATATATGGCTAATGACATGTAAAAGTTGCCCTGCAAATTGAAAATGAGGTACAATTGCCTCTATTTTTAAGTTTCAAGTATTTATAATTTCTTTTGAACATCTTGAACAAATCTTTTGTCTTTCAAGTAATGACTTGCATACATACTTGACCTGCATACAGTTTCTCGTGTATTTCTGTTAACTGGAATTTCTTCTGATCTTCAAATGACATTGCTTCGATTAAGAAAGCCATTGAAGTTCTTTCTGCCACTGCTTTTGTGGATTATTTTTCTTCACATGTCTTGCATACATGAAAGAGACTGGAGGAGAGTATACAACTGTGGCAGTATTGACAAGGACAAAATAGTTAAAACATGAGCCTCAACATCCGGAACATTCACTTTTCTACGGAGCCCCCTAGGGGACATGGAGAAGAAAAAAAAATTTATTTGAAAAAAAATAAAATGTCGCAAAACCCCTTTGCGAGATCTCGCAATACTTTTGCGAGATCTCACAAAACCCCGTTGCAGTTTGTAGACGGTCCCTAAGCACTCCTCTCCCTCCTCAAGCTGCAGATTGTGACCAATTTTTGATGTTTAGCTCAGATGACGGCGCGTATCGAACTGTTCGGATAAAAACGACTCTGTAGCTCGTTGTCTACCTTGCTATGATTGTAAAGTCATGTTGTTTGTATTTTTACAACGTTATGTTCATGAGTTATTGATCCGCGAAATTCGAATCTGTCAATAACTCAGCTCAGAGGGACGTGCATGTCCCCTCGCTCTGAGTGTTCTCTTGAGGTGTCTTCACTTATGTGAAACCCTTTATATATACAGTCTATGTGTGAAACCCGTGCCTATTGCCAAGCACTGATGTTATATCTTTATATTTAAGGCCAAGCTCAAAGTAAAATCGATGAACCACTCCATTGTTGTGGTTTCTGTGTTGCCGTAGCAGCCGAACTGACCAGGAAGTACTAAATGAAAAGTATTGCGAGATCTCGCAAAGGGGTTTTGCGAGATCTCGCAAAAGTATTGCGAGATCTCGCAAAAGTATTGCGAGATCTCGCAAAACTTTTTTTTTTTTTTTCTTCTCCATGTCCCCTAGGGGGCTCCGTACTTTTCCCTATAAGAGCGCATGCACAAACTCACAAGTACAAGCAAATGTCAAAATAGGCTTTGTGAATCATGTCTTCAGTGAAGCCATAGAGAACAACACTGTCAAACATGATGGCTGTTTTTTTAAACAGGCGGTCAGAATCACCACATGTGAACAAGAATCAGATGCTGAGTGACAGTTTCAACGCCGCTGTGAGTCGCACAGCTGTAAATAAGTGGGATGAGGAACAGATCGTGCAGATTTTTCCTGTTTTTTTTTACTGCCAAAATTCACAGATGTATGCGTTTAATCTCCTGTGTGTCAACATGCATGCACCAAAGAAGCAGAGCGCTCTGTATTTCTTCACCAAATCACTACATCCACATAGTAACAGTACACACAAAAAACCACAACCAACTGACATCGTATACAGAGCAAAGAGGGAGAGAGTGAGGAGAAAACAGGAAAGGGGGCTGAAGGAATACAAATCATTACCTCTGTTTAGACTTGTTGTGGCTGTTGTTTGCTGCATGGTTTTTCCTCTCAGAGTAAACTAGCATACGTCCTCGGAAAACATAACCACTCTGTTCTGGTTTCTGCGGCTGTGTACACGCATCTACACGAACATGTACACACAGTATTATTTCCAATGGAATAAAACGGCATGTTGTTTTAGGGAGACAAACAAAAAAGGGGCCCCCCGACATCTGCTGCACAGCTAAAGTCAGTCACTGCTCTGTGTTCGGTGTGTCCCTTGATCGCCACTAGCCACAGTTACGGAGGGTCAATGCGCTGAGCTACCAACCAAAGGGTCAGTGCAGTTAACATGTCCTAGTGTCCTTGGTCAAGATACCCAACTCTTAATTAATCATATAGGCATGTTTACAGTATGTTAGTATATGTAAGTCGATTCGAAAAGGAAAAAAAGCATGAGCTAAATAACATGAAATGTAATGTTAACAGCAGGAATCAATTGGGGAAAACAGAGGTAAGTTACTGTTTTTGTTCTGTTTTCTAGTGTAGCAAAAAATGTACTAGGCATAAAATGCATTTTGTTTTGGTGCCATACGTTGCAGAATGACAAACCGAATATCCTTGAATCCCTAAAGTGAAGTAAACAGGTTGACTTGGGAATCCGTCACGTTTCACAATAGCTGGGTATTTTTGGCTCTGTGGGGAAAGATGTGAAGACACTATGCATCAACAGGTGCTAATTGTATTGGACTAGATCCACAAATGTGTATCATGGAGTGTTAATGACCTGCTCCATGGACATTGACAGAGGGCTTTCAGTGGCCAAGAATATTGATAGGCATTTAGTTACTTATCACTAACTTCTAAAAAGAGACTCTTTTGATGTTATATTCGTTCTGTCTGATGGCATATGCAAAGTCGAAACAGTTGTTCCCATTCTTTGCCTCTTGTACTCTGATGTTAACAATGTCCTCTCCTGGCTAAGGTGTATTAAAATACCTGACCTCCCTGCTGCCCGTGGCTCCCAGCCAGCTGAGGGGCCTCTCAGCCTGGATGATGGGGGCTGAAATCCTCCTTCTTACACTCACAGAGTCTCACTACACACTAAACCAATCCTGTAAGTGATTTTGTTGATAAAGAACCATTTTAAATCAGATAATGATCGAAAGTAGTCTGTAAAATAGACTATATCCTCTTTGTTAATCCTTCATAGTGACACCATGCCAGGTATCTTGACTTCCTGTTTGTTTTAGGACATTGACATCAGTCTGTTTTCCAGTGAGTGAGAGGCATCTCCAGTTCGACTGAGGACAGGCCACCTAAGATGACTGGGCAAAATACATTTCCACTGGAAAAGTAGTCATTGGCCGTTTTTGCTGCGTGATAACTATCATTATGATGTAACATTGTCATTACATTTAGAATGTTGCTAATTTAAAAATGGATACAAATCGTAAAGTACCAATATAGATATGCTACCTCAAACACTGTTCAGCCTAAGCTTCATAGTGATTATCAATTCAATACTAAAAAGCTAGATAAACATGGAAAATAAACAATGACAAATGTGCAAATGAAATTGATTAGGAAGCATCTTTAGCCAAATGTCCATCATGCTGTATCACACATTTTAACTGAGTTTTGAGAACATTTGAAAAGGGCAATTAAAATGAATGCTAGATTCAATCCACGGTGTGCAATTATTTTGAGTATTTCATCGAGATAAGCTTTAGGTGGTGCTTGTCAGAAAAGTTGCAGAAGTGGAGGGTGAAACAAGAAGATATAATTAAGAGAGCATCAGTCAGACCTTGAATATGACATGACAGAAATGCAGCTAGTGTACTGCCTGGATGTAATGCTGCTTTGGACTCAACACTATTATTTCTCAAAGTGTTCCACCACTGCCTCCTGGCACACTGCCGCTGATGATAGCCTGAGGCTCTGAAATCTAGATTAATTGGAAATGGAAGGTTTGGCTCAAAATGACTGCAGTCTTGCCGTGTAGTGAAAAAACTGTTAAATACTGGGAACAAGATCGACAGACTTTTTATTTTTCTTCATCATCGCTGTAAACAGCAAACTGTCCATTAAAATGTAATTCTGAAACAGATTGCGTTAGTTTGAAATTATTTTGGGTGAACGTGACTTAGGTCAACTATTTTGGAGTCCGCATGATGATCGCAAAGCGTCGAACTTAATAATATTGATTGATTAGATCGATAGGTAAGAGTTTGACGAGGCTAGGATAGACAGTTTCCAAAAAGCAGTCAAAAACTAAAAGGAAAATCCAGAACTGTAAACACATTACACACAGAACACAAGGACGGTAGTAGTTATACACATACCACTTTCGTCTCATTAGTATGCATAGAAAGTGACAGGTCACACCTCTCCCTACTTATTAAGCCCCGCCCACTTCCGGCTAAACCCCGCCCACTTCCGGCTAAGCCCCGCCCACTTCCACCGGAAGTCCCGCCCACTTCCACCGGAAGTCCCGCCCTCCATAAGCCCCGCCCCTTCCACCGGAAGTCCCGCCCCCACTTCCGGTTTTTCAAAATAAAATTAAAAAATATTTTAAAAATGATAAAAATAAAAATGCTGCCCCTACCGGTCACCCCCACTTCCGGTTTTTCAAAATAAAATTAAAAAATATTTTAAAAATGATAAAAATAAAAATGCTGCCCCTACCGGTCGCCCCCGCTTCCGGTTTTCAAAATAAAATAACATGAAATGTAACAACCATATATTTTAAAAGTAATGTCTCAGCTCTAAAGAGCAAGGTCCCGCCACCTAACCACTTCCTGTGCCCCTGTATACAGCAGTATTGACTGTAACTTACAAATACTTGCAAATAACAAGAAATATACAACCATATATTTTTAAAAGTACTGTCAATCTCACTAACTCTCTCTCGCTCTCTGCTATTCTCTGCCGTGAAAAGTTTGGTGAACAGTCAAGACAGGTGTGGGGACCATAAAACCCCCAGACATCCTCTGCGGGACAAATGGTGGGGCGATGGGGAGGACACACACACACACACACACACACACACCCACACACACACACACACACACACACACTCACCCCCTCTTCCGTTCAGGATGTTTCTTTTCAAGTTTTTTTGTGAAACTGCTAAAGAAGTATTTGTTTTGCAAAAGAGGTTATTTTCAAAAGATCTTATTTAGGTTTTAATAGTGTTACCTAAGGGTATTCTCTTTCAGTATATGGATTTGTGAACTAATGTGTAATTACTTTTATTAACTATAATTGCACAGGATCATTCTAAGAAGAGTGAGAGGGCTAATGAGCCAGCACCATACCTCCTCTATGCATTTTCTTGACCTGTATCTGATCATGAAAAACTTGACTCTTTTTAAAAAAGTTATTTTTCATCTATCATTTTCAACCATGCAACAAGAGATCAAATTTAAGAATAAGTAATAGTTTGTCACGATTTTACGGGAAATAGTCAGTGCGCAATGTCACATCTTAAAGACAGCTTTAACTGGATAAATGGTTAGTCTTTTTTCAAAACATACCGTACGTTCTGCATGTTAGTATATTTGGTCAATCGATTAGACCCTACTGCCCTAGACGCATGCCCTCAATAGGGAAGTCACGCTTTGGGAAGATGTGTTTCATTTCACAGATCCACCTTGATTTGTTGTTGTGAGGGGTGAAGGAAGAGGGACGGGGGAGGAAAATTCAGAGGATGAAAAAGCAGAAAACATAACTTGTTTTTGTAAAACGGTCAGCACGTCAGTTTCAAGAAAGACGTTTGCATACATAAAAAAGTGTATCTTACAGTTCCTTTTGTGAGAGAATTACACACAAATCTGCAGAGTGTCACTAAAAAGTTGTAACACAGGGACTGACATTCTGTATGGGGTTTCACACGGACACAAAGTCTACTTCATTATCTACTTTGTCAGCTTTTATACACAAAAGTGTATCTTTCAGTAACTTTCTCAGAGAATTTAAGCATAAATCTGTCAAAGATTCTTAACGAAATCTACTTCATTATCTACTTTGTCAGCTTTTATACACAAAAGTGTATCTTTCAGTAACTTTCTCAGAGAATTTAAGCATAAATCTGTCAAAGATTCTTAACGAAATCTACTTCATTATCTACTTTTCAGCTTTTATACACAAAAGTGTATCCTTCAGTAACTTTCTCAGAGAATTTAAGCACGTCAGTTTCAAGAAAGACGACAATAATTAGTAGTTAGACATTTTGGAGAAATGTTCTCTGTCGTTCTTAATGCAAAAACAAATCATCTCTACTCCCTTTGGGTGAAGTCCAGGAATGTTCTCGGGGGGAGTGGACACTTGCTGTTACATGGCATAAAGCTTCTGCAGTGTGCCAATAAATGTATAGTTTCCCTAAAGCTCCATACATTTACACATATTGACTAATGACTCAGCACATGAGGGGTAAATACAAAACAAATCTAAATATCACCAATTATTCCAGAATGTGACTAGAATAGAGTCTAGAGAATGGACCCAGGCTTTGTCTTCAGCCATCAACTAAATAGGGGCGTGCTTTTTTTTTTGAATCACCAGTATGTTACTCACCATTGAAGACAGTGTTGAGGGGGCAAGCAAAGTGTACTCAGCGGCAGATTGCATGGAAGCAGAAAGGCCTGGCTCAGACACCATGTCTCCAAAGGTTGACGGGGAACTTCCAACCAGTTCCATCACCTGTTTAGCTTGAGGGAATTTAAACACCATTCAAAATATGGATTACAGAAAAACAATATATGTAGTAAATCGGGTAATCATTAATAAGGGGAAAATGTGCAAGTCTAACCTGAGTCTGGCATGAGCACTTGATCAATAAGGTGGATGACAATGTCCTTCTTGAGCACCATCTTGATGCCATTGACTGTTAAACTCTCGCCATCACAGCCTTGAAATCAAAGTAACGCTTCTAAAAACATATATTTTAGAAAAGTAATGTTAGTCATGTCAAGTTATCAAGACTGCTGTGTTTCATCGAAACAGTGTACAGAGCAGAAAGGGGAACATTTGTCGCCACATTAACATACCGACTCCTCTATCAGTTTTTGCATACATAAAAAGTGTATCTTACAGTTCCTTTTGTGAGAGAATTACACACAAATCTGCAGAGTGTCACTAAAAAGTTGTACACAGGGACTGACATTCTGTATGAGGGTTTCACACCTGAGCTGCTGGGGGGAGGGCGTTGAAAAGGGGGTGAGTATGTTTGGCTCTCTGGTGTGTTAAGAGTCACAGTCTTAAAGAAAAATCTGGTCAGAAAAAGTACTTAACTTTCTACCAGTTGTAAATTGTCTTACATATAAAAAAAGTAAGAGACTTACTGTTTCCTTTGTGAGAGAATTACACATAAATCTGCAGAGTGTCTGTAAAAAGTCTCAAAATCACAAACTGCAGACGCCTCAAGGAGAGACTTGAAAAGATCCATGCCGAGTGGGGGGAGAAGAAGAAGACTAATAACCAGCAGTTGACTGAAGCCAGGGACTTTTTTCTTTAAAGTAAAATAAAAATGGGAAACTACTATGCAAAACGCTCTGTATATATTGATCAGAATGTAGTCAATACCCTTTTAATAAGTGTGGTGATGAGGACGATTGAAAACAGAACGAGTAGTGACCCCTGTGTAAACAGAATGGCTGAAGTTTGTAAACTAGAAGACATTTTGGCTATCGTGCGTTCTGGCAGTACTATCCCCGGTCATTGGGAAACGATTGTAAACGAAACATTTAAAGTGGTCCTGGAATCTTCATTTTCCGAAACATTCTGTAACATTATCTCAGAAATGAAACAAACATCAAAAGTGTATCATGTGCTCTCAGTGTATGCTCTGTTTGTAGATGTAATGCATCTCTGTGCAGAAAGCAGCATACACATGAATATTCTGACTGAAGTGAAAAAACTCCATCACGATATCTCCAGTCATATGGGGAACTCTAAGCTGGAGACGGTCCTGCGGATGTTGCAATCAGTATAACTATTTGATTTTTGGGTGTGAAAAATAAAAAAGTGTTTTTTACATTTAAAAACTGTTGTCTTCATTATAGCCAGGGGGGCGTGTCTGATACATGTGTATTACAGTCCTTCTTTTTGTGTTTTTCAGTGTTTTTCTGTGTGTCTGTGTGACAAAGCACAAATCATTTCAAACAAACCCTGAATCAAATTTAGAGAGGACCATTAAGAGTCAGAATCTTAATGAAATCTACAGACACAAAGTACTTCATTATCTACTTTTCAGCTTTTATACACAAAAGTGTATCTTTCAGTATATTTTTGAGAGAATTTAAGCATAAATCTGCCAAATGTTTCAAAAACAGCCTTGTTTCACTGAAATAGCCTCAAAATCACAAACTGCCATTAAGAGTCAGATGCTTTTACGGAATCTAATAAAACAGAGTATTTTCTACAGATGACTCCTCCCACTCAACGCAATAAGTACCATCCCATTCAGCAAATCATATAAAACTAAGGACCCCCACTAAGACGACCGTTGAAAGTAGCCATGAATCTGAGAAAAACCAAGTCTGATATAGCCTCCCCTTATTATCACCAGGATAACGGATATGGGCTTAATGACTGGATGTTACAAAGTAAGGGGGAGGATGTTCCCGAAGAAGAGCCCTCCTCTATATCATATCCATGTAAGGTCTTTAGGACAAAAGAGGACCACGATAACATGACATATGAAGAATATCTTTCTTTAAAAGAGGGTATTATAGATAACCTTGATAGAAACAGTATATCTCATACCACTCGCCAAGATCGCAAACGACAATTAGCAGAAAAGAAAAGAAAAAGTAAAGAAAAACGAAGAAAAATGAAAAGGAGAAGAAAAATGAAAAGCAAACGCAGAATGCGAATGAAAAGAAAAGGACGGAAAACCAAAAAGACAAAACGAAGGAAGGTGAAAAGAAAAAGGAACAAAGTGAAGAAATGTAATGGTGTTGTTGAGTCATTACCGGATCATAATAATCTTATAGATCATCTACCGCTAACCGACTGCTGCGAATGTGTTGAACAAATACCAAAAGCAATGGCAGAGCTTTGCTTCAATATAATGAGAGAAAAAGCACGATACTGTGGAATTGCCCAAATTGGTGACAGTGCCAGAACATGCATTAAAAGACTGTTGGAGGATTTCTATTCTAGTATCGGTTTTCATTACATCGAAGGATATGCCAAAACGTGTGACGACATAGACAAAGCTTTTGAAGACAATTATATGGTACCTGTCCTTACAGCTAAACAAATCCTACGCCAGGT